CAGACAAGTCAATGCCAACTGTGCCAGAAAAATACTATTGTAAATTATGCCAAACACTTAAAAATATCGAAATCTCTTCGGTGCAATGTCATACACTGTGTTAACGTCTGCATAGTCGGCATCAGCAGAGACTCATGATATATTTCAATTGCATACAAGTACCTGGAATGATATTATTCTTTTGTCTAATGCAGGTATCTTTAAAAGAATATCTCGAATAATGTATGTGTGGTATAATTACGTATTAATTTTTGTTTCCAATTAGCGATCATAAAAAATTCCGAAGACGTACATCAAATCACGTACAGTTTAAAAAAAATAAATATAAGGGAAACCAAAAGATTCTGCAGTAAAAAAAGTTAAAACAAACTTGAACCAACCAATAATATAATCAAACATAAACAAATACCAACGTACATTACATAGATGTATGGATAGACATCACTAGTAACATTGCGAATGCAGAGATAATATACAATCCGTAGATTTTCCAAACAAATCTTACGGGCCGTTTCCTTCATACGCCTGATTCATCCATTTGAAAATCGAAATAGCAAAGTGAGCTCTACATCTCATTAAAAGATAACGGAAACCTTTGTCACCATTAACTATTGATATAATAACTCTCGGTCCCGGAAAGTATTTCGTGGCTGAGAATTGCATGAATTCCAAATAACAAGCGAACCCAAACAAATTGTTGCATGTCCTTGTATTAAATATGCAAATTTGTACATGATTAAATGTATAATGTGAACTTCGTAATATCGTACAAATTAGTTACTTACAGTTCCCATTATATTTAAAATTTATGTACATATTGCAACTGCAATGTGTAAATGCATGAACACACATGTAATAGCTATCTAAGAAAATATTTACGTCAAAAAATTATATTAAAAAATGTGACAGAACATCATTTTATGAAAGCTAAGACATACGTTAGTACACGCAAACATGTAATGTGATTCTTTCCACGAATATTCTATAACAAAACATAAAATTAAAATATAATGAAGATATATCTCATAAATGTGTAAATCTCCTGTATGATATGTAAATGTGTAGATCTCGAAATAGTGTAAATGCATGTATACACAGTAAATAACTGACTCAAGAAATATTCCATAACTTTTATATAAAGAAATAACAAAAACGCTGTATAAAACCATCCATCAGAGTTAAGCTTAACTGTCTTACAGTTAATTGACAGTTAATGGTAACCCAATAACTGTCTCAAGAAATATTCCATTAATTATAAATACAGAAATAACAAAAATGATGTATAAAACCATCCATCAGAGTTAAGCTAATCATAAAAACCGCACATCTTCTAGATTGTGTGAATGCATAAATATACATAAAATGTTACACCATATACAGCGTTGAGGGATCTTAAAAACCAAAAGCTTTATGTATATTGTACGTTTCAAGCTGCTCGTTACCAGTAATGTTCCAAAAAGATGTGTAAATGCATGTATACACAGATATCAACCTGGAGAGAAAAGTTTGTCATAGTGTACAATAAATCAATATAAAAAGTATTACATGAACTACTTCGATAACAGCAAGTGTAAAATATATCTCAACGAGTTTGAAAAGATGCATTAAATTAATGAAACTATAAATATTCTAAGTAATATAAGCAACTACATAAGAACACAAAAATGCAATTAAACCTTGCGGCATAAAATTGTTTATTGCAGAATAAGAAGCACCGGCAGATTGCAACTTAAACAAATGATAAAATTATAAAACATTGGCTAATAAGGTAGCTTGTAATGCGGCCGTAACAGTAATACGTCGGTCTCAAGCCCGAAAAAACGCGGAGAGAAAGCATTCTTACGAAATAAGATTTAAAAAATATTACATACTATCAACGATGCTCTAAGAAGTCTCTTCACAAAATTGTAAGTAAAAACAAAATGTAGTCTTTATATAATTTAACAACTAAAATAAATAAAAACAGAACAATGCGTATTATGACTTAAAAATGCATGTGATGATGCAAAAACAGTTTACACCCCCTAAACTGTATACGTATTATTATTAGGCTGGTGCGAAAAAAGTAGCAACAACTGAAATGAGAAAGCTATAGAAATAGGACACTAGGACCAAACTGGCAAACGCAGACCCACATCTTGTGTAAGCAAAAATAAAAAAGGTCATAATAATATTAAAAGCGTCCAATGCAACTTCGCTATTAAACATGCAAAAAAAGTAGCACTTTGACCGTTTTCGATGTACGCGTACAGTGAAAAATTGAGTAAAAATCACCCGCCCTGTCGATTTCTCCCGATCATTTTAATTTTTGTTTATTGTTTAGATAATAATAAACAATTCGTATCATTTTTAGCGGGGCCTTCGATCTAGATCTTCAGTTATCTGGGCCAGAAGTGCGAACTTGGTTGATTTTGCACTACGCGTGTAGTGGAAAATCGAGTGAAAATCACCCGCCCTGTCGATTTTTCCCGAATATTAAAACTTTTTTTTATTGTTTATGTAATAATTAACAATTTGTATAATTTTTAGTGAGGCCTTCGATCTAGATTTTTAGTTATGAGGGCCAGACGTGCGAACGTGGTTAATTTCGACCTTCGCGTGTAGTGGAAAATCGAGTGAAAATCACCCGCCTTGTCGATATTACCTGGATTATTTGATTTTGATATATTGTTCACACAATAATAAACAACTCGTATTATTTTTAGCGGGGCCTTCGGTCTAGATTTAGAGTTATGGCAGCCAGAAGTGCGAACTTGGTTGATTTTGCACTACGCGTGTAGTGGAAAATCAAGTGGAAATCACCCGCCCTCTCGATTCTTCCCGGTTATTTTGATTTTTGTTTATTGCTTATATAATAATAAACAACTAATGTCATTTTTAGCGGGCCCTTCGATTTAGATTTTCAGTTATGTGGGCCAGAAGTGCGAACTTGGTTTATTTTGCACTACGCGTGTAGTGGAAAATCGAGTAAAAATCACCCGCCCTGTCGATTTTTCCTGGATATTTTAATTTTTGTTTATTGTTTATATAATAATTAACAATTTGTACCATTTTTAGCGGGGCCTTCGATTTAGATTTTTAGTTATGAGGGCCAGAAGTGCGAACTTTGTTGATTTCGCCCTATTTGGGAGGTGGNATAATAATTAACAATTTGTACCATTTTTAGCGGGGCCTTCGATTTAGATTTTTAGTTATGAGGGCCAGAAGTGCGAACTTTGTTGATTTCGCCCTATTTGGGAGGTGGAAAATCGAGTAAAAATCACCAGCCCTGTCGATTTTTCCCGGTTATTTTAATTTTTTTTATTGTTGAGATAATAATAAACAATTTGTATTATTTTAAGCGGGGCCTTTGATTTGGTTTTATAGTTACGAAAGCCAGAAGTTTGAAGGAGTAGTAAAGCTAGCATAGGCACATACATGATAATTCTGGGTTTGGGTAAAATTATGGAAAATTATCTTTTTTACGACTTATACATATGATTAGTAGTCTCTTATGCCACTTTTAGTTGTTCTGAAGCATTTTTGCTACGTTTTAAAGTGATTAATTAAATTCTCAAATTTCTTTTTCGGAACGTTCCGAACTTCAGTGTCATAATTTATGATCGATGATAATGGTGTTTTTATAGAGTAATATAACTTATTTTTTTGCTCTTAACGAAAAAAAATAAGCCAGATAGGTGGCACTGTGATGCAGCATTATATTTATGAGCCAAAATTTGAATCATCAAAAATAATAGAAACATTCGACAAGCAACACTCTTCATTGATAGATGAAGGTGCTGAAGAACATAATCTGTAGGGGTTCTAGTAATAGCTTATCTGAAAAATATTCTATTAATTCCTCTTTTTCATAAATATTATTCTACACCAGAGTGCCATCTATCCTTTTTTTTTTGTTTAAAACTGTAAATTATATGAATTTACGTTTATGAAAACACCGTTTCCATCAACAAACTATTATAAAACAAAACAATCAGCCAAAATGCGTCTGAAAGTACTTTACGTAATATTGATAACAATTTGTTTAGCTACCTCATCCGTTTTAAACAATATTATCCTTTTTTTCAAACTTTTATCATAAGCCATGAGTTTTTGCAGCTTTCAACAATTTATTTTGCCACATGTTCTCAGTAAAAATAGATGGAAAATTTTTTTGGGTACTGGGGGCATGATCACTAACCATCTCTTGAATTTTTAAGTGGTTAACAAGAAAATTTTTTTTTTTTTTTATTAATTTGTAATTCCAACTCCCTTAGTAAGATTCGACTAGGAAAATTTTTGTAGCATAATTTAGGTATAATATTTATGTTAACCGCAGTTTAACATATTTTGGCTTCCTCAAGTTTGGAAGTCTGGGTGCGATAAGGACGTTTATCACACATAGTGTTTTCTGTACGATCTTCCTAAAAATTCAACAGGATGCTCGTGATGATGTTAGAAAGTCACATGTAAAATTTGAGATCGTTTCACAACACCGTTATTTAAATATTGAATGTTGAAAAAAACTTCAATGTAACACGTAACCTTATGGAGGAGTCACATAAAAATGGAATTTATAAGAAAATGGTATATAGAATTTTTCCAATTTTTTTTTTGCATGACGAAATACTATAATACTGGTCTTATTCTAAATTTTCAGAGAGATCGACAAGTTACTTTTGTAATTAAATAAAAAAAACAATCTTAGACGCCTCTATATAAGTATACAAATGCATTCAAAACAGTTGCCGGCGCTGCCGCATGCTCGCTCCCCCCTCACTGCACTCTCTACATGTTTCCCCTCTAACTGTGATGAACGTCCTTATAAGAGCATTGATACAAAGAGCCAGCCGGTCAACAGATCGATGATTTGCACTTTATTGCTTCAACTAGGGTATACTGAATAAACCAAAGCTCGATGAGTCGAACGACTAAACCAACGTGATAGAGCGATAGCCGATAGTACCATGATAATCGAACGCTCCTGCAAGATAAAAAAAGCACTGTGGCATGCTAATATGTATAAAATTGAGTATACGTATAAAACGATAAACAAACAAGAAAAATAAAAATACGGCGTGGAAAGATTATTTGACTGACAAGATTTAAAAAAAAAAAATAAAAATCTTTGATATCGTAACTAAAAAACATTGAATGTAAGTATACTGGCTGTGTTTTTTATTATATCATTCACTCAGGAATATTTATATGATTATTGTATTTGTTTAGTGCTTATGAATAGTTCTACCCCAAGGAAGCAAAGTGTCCAACTTTAAAAAAAAGTTAATTATATCATGCATTGGTACATCTTAAAGAGACAAGCAATGCCATTTTTACTGAATAAATCAAATAATAATACTTCAGTCAAGAGGTTACTGAATGTATCTATGAGACATGCTCATAACAATAAAGATGGACAGGATCCTCATGGATTTGAAAAATCAAGTATTACCCAAGTGGCAAACTATTGGCAGGAACGTTTTGAAAATGAAGGAGTCACGGAGTCCAAGGAATCCATTGAACATATTATCTTTCACATTTTAGGTACAAGAAAGGTATACAATTTTTTCATGAGAATTTAAATGAGGAAAGGGAGGTTTGTTTGTACCTAATGAATTTCGTATCCCCATATAAAAACATGGGTACACTAAATGTTTGGTGCATATAACTGGTCCCACTTTCAATCTGAAATGCTTTGTTTTTTTTTTTAACCAAGAGATTGATAATACCTTTTACTTTTCTTAATTTGAGCAATATCTATAAATAACAAAAAAGGACATTTAATCAATAAATAGTAACTAATTTTTTCCATAAATGGGTCATTTATAAATCAAATTTGAATTTTGGGCCAATTCCATAGATCAAAAACTTAGCAAGTTTAAATGAGAAAAGATTAAACCCAGATCAGTTGCAAAAATTGGATCTTTTGTGCAACTGTAGATTATCACGGTTTGTTAAAATAAACTTATCAAGAATTTGGAGCATTTATTAATTAATTACATGTATGTGTAAAAGCTAACATTTAATGATTTTAGAATGCCCATTCAATATATTATTGGTGAATGGGACTTCAGAGATATAACGTTGAAGCTGGAACCTCCAATTTTCATTCCTCGACCAGAAACTGAAGTTCTTGTTGATTATTCATTAAAAAGCATAAATAATTTAAAAAACAAAAGTTGCAGTATATTAGAAATTGGCTGTGGCTCTGGTGCAATCAGTCTCTCACTTTTGAAATCAAACAATGATGTAACTATCCTTCATCAATCACTGCTTTGATAGATCTAGTACATTTTTAAATTTACTATTATTTGCAGTTAACCGTTACAGCAATTGATATCAACCCTCATGCTTGCGATTTAACAATGCAAAATGCAAAAAATTTGAAACTCGATCTTCGTTTAAGCTTGTTCAATGCAAAAATGAACGAAGATGGCACCATTAATATTTTAAAAAACGACTTCTCAAATCAGGATTTCAATTTTATGGAAAAAAAGTTTGACTTCATCATAAGTAATCCTCCTTACATTCCAACAAAGAAAATATTCAAACTTCAACCAGAGATAACATTGTAAAAATAATTAACACTCTATGTTAACTAAGTCTATGTTAACTGTCACTTTAAAAAAATCCTACTTTTAGGTACGAGGACATAGTAGCCTTAGATGGTGGAAAAGATGGTCTACAATTGATCAAAGCCATCATAAAATTTGCTTCTCAAGCTCTCTATAAAGGTGGTTATCTTATTTTGGAAGTTGACAGCACACATCCGAGTGAAATATCATCTTTTATAGAACAAATTTATTCGGATGAACTTAAAGTTAAAGAAGTTTATAAAGACTTTTGTAAAAATGATCGATTCGTAGAAATAGTTAAAATTAAATAAAACAAAACTAGATACGAAAAATTACTAACTTGTATTTCCCTAACCCTTCAAGTTATTTCAGTTGATTCAAATATAATTACCATATTCGTGATATAACTATTTTTTCACTCGGAAAATTCACACTTTTTTTCCGTGACAATTTCTCAGATAGTCCAAATGAATGTTCAAATTGATTCAGGTACATATTTTTCTAGAAGTACTTATGCGTTAATACTTTTAATTAACACTTAAATTTTTCATTAAATTAAGGGTACATTATACATTTACATTTAAACTTTAGCAATCAATCACACGCTCCTTCAATTCTCATAGTTCTTCTCGATTGAGCAGGGTTTTGGGCGGTTTGCATGCCACGCTGCGGCATTGCATCGGAACCCGCAGCCGCGACCCGCGCGTTTGATAGGTAGGACACGTTCACGGTATAAGATTAGACAGGTGGTACGGGTACGGATACGAAGTACCACCTCCAACGGGTTACAGTTTTGTAGCAGTACCGATCACACTCGTCAGATAGCCAATGAGTAAGAAAGGCACAATGTATAGAAATAAAAAATATAAGATATAACCGTAACCCTATTTATTTACAAATTTTACAATCTACTACTAATACGTAGAATAAGATACAATGGTGGAAATGAATTAATGAATTAAAAATTAGGTTGAAACCGAATTTGGATAATTTTTTTTCTCTCTACTTTATTTTAAAACATCCTTATTTTGTATGTTAACGTACTGTCTCATTCTCATGCTAGTGTAATAATAGATAGATTTGGATATTGCATCCTTTTTATGTAGTTTACAGGGGAACTGAAACTTATTGCGCAAAAGATTTTCAACAACATATTCCGTATTCGTAAACATTGAAAAGCTGATTATTTATGGCTTCCCTAAAATATTTCTCTATATTATCAAAGAGTTTGTAAAAAAGACTATTTGCATGGATGAGTCCTTCCCTATTTTTTAAGTTAATTAATAATGCTTCTGGTTTAACAGAGTTTCCGGGGTTACTGTTTAAAGTCATTTGGCATGTGGTGCATTTTTTAAATTTTTTTCGTAGTTTTCGACAAATAAAGCCAGTGACGTAATAAGTAATACAACTTATCGTGAACAATATTGTGAGTAATGTTAGAGTTTGTATTTACACTTTGGTGCACCTTTTACGTTACAACTGTTTTCTCGTCTGCTACTGCCTTTTCGACACCAATCCACCTAGTGGTCAACTTTGGTACTGCTACAAAATTGCAACAGACCGCACAAAGCATAGAGGTGGTACTTCGTACTGTTCGTACCATCCCACCACCCGTCTTATCTTACACCGTGGTTTTGCTCGTACAGTTCGCTTGTATCCACTAAGTGAGTTCAGTACTAAGTTTTGTATTCATTGGCTAGGGTCATCCACTTCTAGAAATAATAATAGTTGCCAACTGTCACAAAGGTTCTAAATTACTGTCTTTTATATTAATATAGGAACTTATTTTAAAATAGAAACCACGACTAACGAGCATAAGAAACGACTGAACAGCACATACCCATAGCTTCCCAAGTAGAATTTAAAAGTGGGCGAAAACTGGGCCCAAGCTTGGCTGCCATGCCGCCCACTTGGGCCGCAGCTTTTCACCTGACTTGGCTCCAGTGGCAGTGGGTTTGAAAAACGGCGCTGACTTGGGCGCAGCTTGGCCTGATTTGGCATGACTTTCGCCCAGTAATCGCCCACTTTCGTCTGCAGATCAGTATAATACAGAGACGTCTATATATAAGTTTACACCCGAGTAGAAATGCAAGTGGGCAGCCCAGCTTAAACGCATGGTCCAAATCAAGTAACCAGGGGTGTAATCCGCAATCGCCGCCAGCAGTTACATATATAAGACGTGACAACGTTGCGTAGTTGGGGGCGCTACTGTCGATTTACTGGTGATGTGATCCGCAATCCCGCCAGCAGTAAAGCAGACGACGTCAGTCTACTTGCTCTTTTTCGTGAAATTTTCTGATTGTAAGCAAAGCATATTGTGCTAGACGTAAACAAACACGCAGACCAAAAAAAATAGTTTCAAGTGGCAAAAAGAAAAATGGAAATAACAGATTCACTGCTGGCGGGATTGCGCGGGATCACATCACCAGTAAATCGACAGTAGCGCCCCCAACCACGCAACGTTGTCACGTCTTACATATGTTACTGCTGGCGGCGATTGCGGATTACACCCCAAGCCTGGCCGGAGGTGGATTTGTAAAAGTTAACTTTAAGTTACGTTTTCGTCATAAGGTTGGTGGTGTCGTGGTGTGACGGTAAATCTCGAACTGTATGTCTGTATTGCGTACATCGAAGCACGCAATTAGACGCCAGTGCAGAGTGCAGACGAAAGTGGGTGATTACCGGGCGAAAGTCATGCCAAGTCAGGGTAAGCTGCGCCCAAGTCAGCGACGTATTACACACACCCGTGGCCAAGTTTGGTTGCTTGATTTGGACAATCCGTTTTTAAACTTCCAACTTTCAATTTTTACTCGGGTTTGTGCTTGTTCGTCTATCTCTAGTGACTTTGCAAAATTCTTTGGGTCATCGAAACATGTTCGTGCTGAATTCCCAGTATTAGTGGTTCGAGAACCTTGCTTCACTTGATCAACGCGAATACCAAAACGTTTGTATATTATAAGTTCTTGAATCACCTTCTTTTTTAAAAATTCTTCTACAAAAAAGCCATTATTATAATACAGAAATTTATATTAATGAAATTGTTTATCATATTTTTTCTATGTACGTATGTATGCTACTTGAATATTTAATAGTTATACTGGAAATGATTCTAAGCTGGCCATACAATAATTTAACATAATTATACTGTTATATCGTATTGCGATTATAGCTGAGTAGAATTACGGAATGTAATTAGTTTTATGTATTTTCTAGTCAATTCACGGGAATGAAAATGAATACTATATACTAATTTCCATAGTACACTTTAATGATTGAAGTTTCATTTTTTCATTTCTGACCGCACAGAGAAAACATAAATTTATTAAATATAACATACCATGACAGGATATTTTGTTCTTCCATTTCAGACAAAAAACTATGACTTGACTGAAAAAAGGTGTTTTCACTTATATTCAATCCATGTACCTTTGTTATAAGCCATAGTAATATGAAACAATTTTTTTATCCTCATTTTCATTCAAAGAGCAACTCTTAGTGTAGTAAAAGGTGTTTTCACTTATATTCAATCCATGTACCTTTGTTATAAGTCATAGTAATATGAAACAATTTTGTTATCCTTATTTTAATTTAAAAAGCAAATTTTAGTGAAGTGAACAATGATCGTTGTAAGAACTAACTTAGATTTAAAATGGTTTATTTTATTTATCTGATAATATATTCGTACCTAAAGTTTTACCTTGTAAACCATTCTGTTTTTTAATGAAAAAAAGTTTTTATAAAATCTTCCATGTGTGCTAACATAAAATGCTTTGGAGTTATACTAAACTAGCAGCCCCCCGTCTCGGCTTCGCTCGAGACTTACTAAATAAAACACCGTAGTGTGTTGACATGTAATGTGAAACATTTTCAGTTAGAAATTTTACACATATTCCTGACACATCTTAGAACAAAAATCTTCTTATTAAAAACATATTTTTTCGGAATCCATATAGTTTATTTGGTCAAATAATAAGGTGTAAAAATTCAAAAAAATAATTATGCTGAAAAGTACCGTGCGTTCTTTATGCCATAAAATAATCGGTGGCCATAAGAAGCCGTTGATTTACAGTTTCTCCCGTGTAATTCACGAAAACGGCTATTTTTTAAAGCTGTTAAGATTTTAAACCCCCAAAAAATTTATATTAAAAAAAAATTTTTTTTCTCATATCTCACAACTTTATTACCAGAGCAACAAAGTCCTGGACCTTAAACCCTACATTTTTATTGCCACAAAAACACAAATACATTTTCTACTCATTAAAAAATCTGAAGTAGGATCTTTAAAGATTTCAGAGATTGCTGTGAGGGTACAATGAAAAGCTGATCTCTCACGTAATGGACTCTTTAGTTGTCGATTTTGACGCTGCTGTTTCAATCTCGATAAATTTTCTGCGTCAGTTTCTTGACGCCTAAGTAAAATTGTATTTATTAGATACACTTGAAGTTTTTCTTCCGATTCACCCTCTTGCGACTTTTGGCATGCTTAAAATTTGTGTGACCCCTAAAGTGTGTTTTCTGTCAACTTTGTTAAGTTCTAATATATTTGTTGGCAAGGTAGTTCGACGTCCGATGTCCCTAAAAAAGACTGGTGAGCTTCTCTAGTTAACTCTTTCTTGACTGCAGTTAACAGCGATTGTGACTGCCTAGATACCTCAGGGTGATCTTCTCTGGCTTGCTGTTGAAGACCCAGACTGATTGGGAGAAAAATTAAAAAGTCCGAAGCTTTGGGGCTAGTTGTAGTGCTCTTTCCCAACGTCTCCCGGTATAACGTCGAAGACGTTGGTGTCTAAAGCACCTTTTTTAGTTGCAGATTCAGTTGTTTTGGTGATCTTAGATGGGGAGATTGGTTAGTGATACTTGTTCAGTGGAGGCTGTCCCGTTGGCTCAAGTTTTTTTTCTTACATAGGTGTTATAGGTTTGCCCAACGCAGACATTGGAGAGGATCAGTGATTCCTGATTAAATGCTTAGAGTCAAGAGGGTAGTATAGGGTCGTCGGTCACCGGATTTTCCAGCCTTGCGAAGAACAACTCCGTAGGTGACGTCTGCTAGTGAATGGCTGACTTGGTTTAATAGTGCCCGTCTTTAGTTAATATAGTCTTTTAGTCGACGAATCGCTTCCGGAAATGGTAATAAAAATGTATTTGTTGGCAAGGTAGTTTACACTTAGGTGGATCCTAAAAAGAACCGATGAAATTGATGGTTAAGTAGGGAACGTAAATACTTACAATGGCGCTAAAAAGCGTCGGTGGTGAAACTTCCAGGCTATTCTTATTCCTGATGATGAAGAGCTGGCTACGGTTGCTTTATTCT